AGGCTCCAGAGGCCCTCTGGAGGCTGGAAACAGCCCCAAACATCCGATAGGCCTGTTTTTCGCCATCCCTGGGCCTTCACACATGCCCTGCATTTACCTGCATCCAAAACGGTCCATGTGGGGTCTCCTGGGAAGGCAGGGGTGGGGTGGGTGGGGCCAGCCAGGAGTGGGATTTGGGGGGTTCTCCGAACTGTACAGAATCTTAGCTAGAGGTTCTCCCTGCAAACCCCTGCGAACCCCCAGCAGCCCACCCCTGTTTATATACCACTAAATGCATTAGCATTTAGACTTATATACTGCTTCACAGTGCTTTACAGCCCTCTCTAAGTGGTTTACAGAGTCAGCCTCTTGCCCCCAACAATCTGGGTCCTCATTTTACCCACCTCGGAAGGATGGAAGGCTGAGTCCACCTTGAGCCTGGTGAGATTTGAACTGCCAAATCGCAGGCAGCTGGCAGGCAGAAGAAGTAGCCTGTAGTACTGCACTCTAACCACTGCGCCACCGTGGCTCAGTGATAAGTAGAGAAATACAGCTATGTAACTAAATGAGCAACAATCTTTAGAACATTGCCAACTTTTAAAGTCAGAAGGGATCGCAAAGATAAGGCATAAAACTCTCCTTTTCTGGAAGCAAGCATCCTATCCTAAGTTGTCTTTAACCAATACCTTTTGAGTATCTTCAGTTCCAACCATACTGTTTTCCAAAATAAATTTAAAATAGTTTTAAAAAGGTGAAAGGTAACTAACGTCAGAATTTCCATAAAATTGCCAGAATATATGAGATTTCAATGTTCTTGATTAAAATATTGAGGCTGGGGGTGTTTGGGGTAGTTTTTCCAACTCCAGTAGTAAAGATCTATCCGATTGGAATTTAAAAAACATATGGTGATCCTTGAACTTAATCAATGATGTTACCAATCAGTTAGAAACCTTTCAGGCTTTGAATCTGACTCATGTACTCTAGCATATGAGCTACAAATCTCCAAAACGCCCTCCTTCCCAATAGCCTGTTCTAGTTCTCTAGCCTGCAATGATTTCTAAGTGATTAACGATTCCACTGCATTGTTTCTTCATTGTAGGAAGAGGACTCATCCACTGAGGAAACAGATCCCAAACTCAAGCTGCACAGGTCCCTGACTGGTAAGTTGGAATACCTCATTCTCATTTGAATTCCACTTTAAAAAAATGGGAAATATATCAAATGGTCATCGATACTGCCTTTACTTCTTTTTTTTTTTCCAATGGCCTGAGTATTGCTTGATGGGGTGGGGAGATAGAAACTCAGGTAATGCTTTTTACTGGACAAAGGTGCTGAAATCCTGCTCCAGTTTCTTTTTGGTTGTTGTTAGTCGCGAAGTTGTGTCTGACCCATCGTGACCCCATGGACAAGGTTCCTCCAGGCCTTCCTGTCCTCTACCATCCTCTGGAGTCCATTTAAGCTCACGCCGACTGCTTCAGTGACTCCATCCAGCCACCTCGTTCTCTGCCGTCCCCTTCTTCTTTTGCCCTCAATCTTTTCCAGCATTAAGCTCTTCTCCAGTGAGTCCTTCCTTCTCATTAGGTGGCCAAAATAGTTGAGTTTCCTCTTCAGGATCTGGCCTTCTAAAGAGCAGCCAGGGTTGATCTCCTCTAGGACTGACCGGTTGGATCGCCTTGCAGTCCAAGGGACTCGCAGGAGTCTTTTCCAGCACCAGAATTCAAAGGCCTCAATTCTTTGGCGCTCAGCCTTCCTTATGGTCCAACTTTCACAGCCATCCATTGCAAGTGGGACAACCATAGCCTTGACTATACACACTTTTGTTGGCAGGGTGATGTCTCTGCTTTTTAGTACGCTATCTAGATTTGCCATAGCTTTCCTCCCCAGGAGCAAGCGTCTTTTAATTTCTTGGCTGCAGTCCCCATCTGCAGTGATCTTGGAACCCAGGAAAATAAAATCTGTCATTACCTCCATTTCTTCCCCATCTATTTGCCAGGAATTGAGGGGGCCGGGAGCCATGATCTTAGTTTTCTTAATGTTGAGTTTCAAGCCAACTTTTGCACTTTCCTCTTTCACCCGCATCAAGAGGCTCTTTAGTTCCTCTTCATTTTCTGTCATTAGAGTGATATCATCTGTATATCTGAGGCATATCTCCTGACAATCTTAATTCCAACTTGTGATTCATCTAACCCCACCTTTCTCATGATGTGCTCTGCATATAAGTTAAATAGGCAGGCCTTGCCGAACTCCTTTCTCAATTTTGAACCAATCAGTGGTTCCATGTCCAGTTCTCACTGTTGCTTCTTGACTTGCATATAGGTTTCTCAAGAGACAAATAAGATGGTCTGGTACTCCCATCTCTTTAAGAACTTGCCACAATTTGTTGTGATCCACACAATCAAAGGCTTTAGCATAGGCAATGAAGCAGAAGTAGATGTTTTTCTGAAACTCCCTAGCTTTCTCCATGATCCAGTGTATGTTGGCAATTTGATCACTAGTTCCTCTGCCTCTTCGAAATCCTGCCTGTACTTCTGGGGCTTCTCGGTCCACATAGCCTAGCTTGTAGGATTTTGAGCATAACTTTGCTAGCCTGTGAAATGAGTGCAATGGTGCGGTAGTTTGAACATTCTTTGGCATTGCCCTTCTTTGGAATTGGAATGTAAACTGAACTTTTCCAATCCTGTGGCCATGTTGAGATTTCCAAATTTGCTGGAAAACTGAGTGCAGCACTTTTACTGCATCATCTTTTAAGGTTTTGAATAGCTCAGCTGGAATACTGTCACCTCCACTAGCTTTGTTGTTGCTCAGACTTCCTAAGGCCCATTTGACTTCACATTCCAGGATGTCTGGCTCAAGGTCAATGACCACCCCATCGTGGTTATCAGGGACATTAAGCTCGTTCTTGTATAGTTTTTCTGTGTAATTTTGCCACCTCTTCTTAATCTCTTTAGCCTCTGTTAGGTCCCTGACATTTTGGTCCTTTATCATGCCCATCTTTGCATGAAACATTCCCTTCATATCTCCAATTTACTTGAAGAGATCTCTGGTCCTCCCTATTCTATTGTTTCCTTCTATTTCTTTGCACTGTTCATTTAAGAAGGCATTCTTATCACTTTCTTTTACTCGTGTAAAATCAGCACAACTTTCTCACTGGATGCTTATCTTTCCTTATTTCTACAGCCAAACATTCCAGGAAAGAACCATTACTGAAAGTGGGTCGCTCAAAGTCAACTGGTTTTATTTCACTTGGATTATCAGATGCAATTCAGCACGTGGAAGGAGAAACTGACCAACCAATTATTTCTAAGGAGAAGTAGCACACAGTTGTATATTTTTTTTCTTTTCATTCATTCTAATTGATCCCTTCCCTTCCCTTCAGTGGTGGGTTTCAAATTTTTTTACTACCGGTTCTGTGGGTGTGGCTTTGTGGGCATGGCATGGCTTGTTGGGTGTAGCTTGGTGGGTGTGACAGGGGAAGGATACTGTAAAATCTCCATTCTCACCTCACTCCAGGGGAAGGTTACTGCAAAATCCCCATTTCCTCCTGATCAGCTGGGACTCAGGAGGCAGAGAATGGATGGGGGCAGGGTCAGTCAGAGGTGGTATTTACCAGTTCTCCGAACTACTCAAAATTTCCACTACCAGTTCTCCAGAACTGGTCAGAACCTGCTGAAACCTACTTCTTCTTCCCTTCCCTTCCCTTCCCTTCCCTTCCCTTCCCTTCCCTTCCCTTCCCTTCCCTTCCCTTCCCTTCCCTTCCCATCCCATCCCATCCCATCCCTTAATGTTCAAGGTAGTTGAAGAAGCTTTGTTTTCCATGAAGAAGGTTCAATCCGTGTCTGCGAAAACTGCTTTGCAGTCAACTTAAATCCAATTGTTGACAAGGAGAAATGGCTGATTGGAAGCAGAGTTCATTTCCAGTGTAGGGTTACCCAAGAATCTGCATTTGTTAGATCAATAATTACACCTTGCTTAAGTGATTGTAAACAAGAACCATGCTTTAGAGCATTGTTTCTCAACTGTGGCAACTTGAATACATGTGGACTTCAACTCCCAGAATTCCCCAGACTGCCATGTTCTTCTAGGCACACTCTATACAATGAACATCCCCAACAAGCATCGTGATATTCAACGGACTTACCTCTCTTGAAAGAATATTAGACTTCAATTTTTTCCTAATGCCGGATGTTAATTCTTGACGAATCAATAGGTGAGGCCAGAACTGGGGAATCTCAGATTCAGATTTTCCCTGTGCAATTGTTCTAAGGGCCCCTGAAAGTGTTGTTTATCTTAAGAGATTCCTCTTTCTGTGTTCATTGTGTCTCTTTGCCAATAAATGAGTCTCTTGTTGAAGCACATGATGTCTTTTGTCATCTTTCTCCTTCAAGGGAAGCCAGCCCAGCCCAATGTTATGAGAATGTAGTCTGGATTTGGAGGAGGGGGGTACTCTATGCCAGAGAGCAAAGAGACAGTGGGACTGGGAATGTCTGGTAGGCAGAAAGAGGACAGAGACAGACACTCCCTAGCAGTTCATAAAGGATATCTATCTGTCTGTCTGTCTGTCTGTCTGTCTGTCTGTCTGTCTATAAATAAAATGTAATTTTTGACATGTATTTAAAAAGCATCCAGTTGACAAACTAAACGAGACACATTTGCAAAAATGGGAGGAGCCCAAACTCAATAGATTCACCCATCCCAAGTGTCAACTTACCAATCTCTTTGCGTTTGGCAAAAGGGCCTTTACATGCATGCCAATCCTAGCCTGCTGGACAGCAAGTAGCAGTGGTGTCTGTCTATCCGGATCAGTTGTAATATAACCTGAAATAGACTGTCTAGCTGGATGCACGAAGGAGAAAACCCCAAGCATGTTTCCTATATGAGTTCTCTGGAGTGAAGCATTCCTAACCCTGCTTGAAATGCCTCAGCTGTTTGGAAACTCAACCCAGAGCTGTCTCCTTACTGCCTTGTGAAATGCATACACCCGTGAAACGCTGCCAGTCCCATTCTTAAAATAGGTCTCCTTACCAGCTCCTAGCACACTCAGCCCCTGCATGTTTTCTTTATTTATTTTTTAAAAAGCCTCGCCCTTCTAGGCTCTCCTTGGCTCAAGCCCTTCTTTCCCCTTCCTTTTCCACCATGAAGATCAAAATAGCAGCCCTTTTAGCTGCAATTTTGGGAGTCGTCGGCGTCTTCCTTTTTCTAGTAGCCTTCGGGACAGATTACTGGCTGCTGGTGACGGAAAAGTGCGGAGGATTTGAAGCGAAGAACAACAATCACTCCTCTGAAGAGGTAAAGGGAGAAAAGTACCCCAAACCTTGTAAATCCAAAATATCATTTATTGGAAGTTCGTGGGGGGGACCACAATTTGAAAGATATTGCTGGAAACGAGAGGAAAAGTCAGAAGTTGGGAATTTAGGCCTTCTGCCACATAGCTCCCAGCGACTGGTAAGATCCCACAGAGTTGGTCTCCTCCGGGTCCCGTCAGCTAAACAATGCCGGCTGGTGGGCCCGCGGGGGAGGGTCTTCTTTGTGGCTGCCCCAGCTTTCTGGAACCAGTTACCTCCTGCGGTCCGGACCATCCCCACCCTATTGGCCTTCCAAAAAGCGGTGAAGACCTGGCTTTTCCGGCAGGCCTGGGGCCGTTGATCTCGCTCTTGTGATCTGGCGAGATCTGGCCATGAATGGCGTGAATGAGTTTTTAATGTTTTTAATTTTTCAATGTTTTTTATAATGATTTTTAAAAATGTATTGTGAGCCGCCCTGAGTCTTCGGAGAGGGGCGGCATATAAATTGAATTAATTAAATTAAAATTAAATTAAATTAATTAAATTAATTCTCAGATGATGAGGGGCCTGGAGGCTAAAACATAGAAACAACAGTTGTTGGAATTGGGTATGTGTAGTTGGATGAAAAGAAGGACCAGGGGTGAGGTGGTAGCAGTGTTTCAATATCTCAGGGGCTGCCACAAAGAAGAGGGAGTCAAGCTATTCTCCAAAGCACCTGAGGGCAGGACAAGAAGCAATGGGTGGAAACTAATCAAGGAGAGAAGCAACCTAGAACTAAGGAGAAATTTCTTGACAGAACAATTAATCAGTGGAACAACTTGCCTCCAGAAGTTTTAAATGCTTCAACACTGGAAGTTTATTTTAGAAGAGATTGGACAACCATTTGTCTGAAAGGTTATAGGGTTTCCTGCCTGAGCAGGGGGTTGGACTAGAAGACCTTCATGGTCCCTTCCAACTCTGTTAATCTGTATTCTGTAAATAGAAAGTACATATACTCTATGTACCCTTGAGATAGAATGCTTCCTTAAGCAGTTGTATCGCAGAGTGTGTAGTCTGTAAATCTTACATATGAAATATTGCAGATTTAATTGATCGATCCTGTAAGGGTCAGTGGATTAATTCATGCATTGCTTTATTTAAAAAAACTTAGGAACATGCCTTGCAGAAAGCAAATGGCTAAATAGATGTCTGCCCTTCCAAACCCTTGCCTCTTATTTGACATCTTCACTATTTTCCCAGCAAAAGAGGAAGAGGAGGAACATGTACAGTAGTGGCCAAAATTGTGGAAACCTTTCCGGAAAAGTGTATTTTCTAAAACTAGCTAATAACACCACTTTTTTGGGGGAGTAGTACCATAAAATTATATATCAATGGAAAGATAATTTAATTAAGAACGTAATGCAACATCTTTCCATGGAGTGAACCAAGTCTTTTAGTTCTGCAGCTGTTATAATGTTATAATAACAAGATTGAATGATTGCTTCTATTAACTGGGTTTTATTGCTGGGTCGCTTCTGACTAACATGTTTCTTTAGTCGGCTCCATAGATTTCCAATTGGGTGAAGGTCTGGGCTATTCCCAGGCCATTCCAGCACTGGAATAGGATTATCTTGAAACTCCAAAAAGAAAAAAAAAGTGGTGTTATTAGTCCTCAAACTTCAAAATTACACTTTCCCCAAAAGGTTTCCACAATTTTGGCCACTACTGTAGCTCGTGTGCCAAGTGAAACTCAACAGTTTGCACCATATTTCTAAATAGTTCTGGTTTGTTTTGAAAATAGGATGGAAAGCAAGTCTGGAAAGAAGGCGGTAAAGGGATCCTGACCTTCCATCATGAAGGTTTCTTTTGGAGATGCTGGTTTTTTGGCGAAGATTACAGAGAGACTATATGGAACTTCTGGTTTAGTGAGTACGAGAGGAAGCAACGTCAGCTGGGAGTTCGTGGGGGTTCGAGAGAACCTCTAGTTAAGATTCTGTGCAGTTCGGAGGACCCCCCCCCAAATCCCACTCTTGGCTGGCCCCATCCATCCCTCCCCTCCCCTCCCCTCCCAGGAGTCCCCATGTGGCCCATTTTGGATGCAGGTAAGTGCAGGGTGCCAGCAGAGACTCGGGGAGGGCAAAAAACAGGCCTCCCGGAAGTTCAGGGAGGCTGGAAACAGGCTTCTTTCTAGCCTCTGGACGGCCTCCAGAGCCCAGGAAAGCCATTTTTGCCCTCTTGTGAAAAGCCTCCAGAGCCTGGGGAGGGCAAAAAACGCCCCCCCCCCGGTGGTGCAGGAGGCTGACTAGGCCATGCCCACGCAGCAACTGGGGGCAGAGAACCCCTTGCTAAAATTTTTGAAGCCCACCCCTGGTCAGCATTATCATATATTCTCTCAAATGGGGGGGGGGTGTCTTCTGTTTGAGGTTCTCGCTCATCTGTCCGGGTTGTCCTGCTTTAGGACTCCAACTGTATGCACTTTTTTTTCCCCCAGTAGGTCATCTTGGAACTTTCCTTCCACCCACCCACCCTACTTCCCCAATTAACATTCTGGATTGCATACAGCTCTCAGAGGGTTTCTACCTCCAATATACACCATAACCATGACAGAATAAATAAATATATACAAAACCACGTATATACCCACATATATTATATGAAACAGAAACAACATAGTTTAGTTTGGATGTATACATGTACATGGCAAGAAAAACGAATCTTGTGAGTTTACCAGACAGATGGCATACAGAACAAAGCTGTTACAGAATCTGGAAGTCCTGCTAGGAATACTTAGAAATCTCCTCCCAGAGGGGAGCAGGAGAAACAGACCATGAAGTGGGTGTGTGGGGTCTCTAACAATGCTTTGAGCTCTAAGCACATAGCACTTATAAGCAGTATCCTGAATAATGAGAAGCGAGGTTCCTATAATCTTCTCTGCTGTCCTTACCACTCTCTGTATGGACTTTCTATCTGAGGCACTGCTGCCTCAGATGATTTTAATGACCCTATTCCACCATTTCTTTGATAGTGTAACTCTTTATTATTTAGTGTAACTCTTGTTCTGCGGCAAGTTGTCTCCAAGCGAGTTGGCCATGACGAGTTGCCCTGCGCTGAGTTGGCGGCAAGTCGGCCATGGTAAATTGTCATAGACCAGGGGTGTCAAACTCAAGATCCATGGGCTGGATCCTGCCTATGTGGTGCTTAGATGTGGCCTGTGGGGCCACCCTGGAAACAGTGAAAGATTGGTCCATGTTGCGTTAGTCCGGCCCAGGCTGACTGGGTGTTGATTTATAACCTGGTGGCGTGCTGTAGGAGGCCATGGCAGTCGAAAACAGAGCTCAGGAGGGCTGCACGCGCCCCTCCCGAGCTCTGTTTTCACTGGCAGACTGCTGTAGGAGGCTGGGACAGCCAAAAATGCCTCGCTGAGGCCACCACAGGCACCCCCAATACGAGTGACATCGAGCTGGCCATGCCTACCCTGGCCACACCCACCTTGGCCACACCCCACCCTGGCCACACCCACCCAGCCTCCCCGAGGTCAAACATAACCCTGATGTGGCCCTCAATGAAATCGAGTTCGACACCCCTTTCATAGACCCTCCCGACATAACTAAATGTGCAAAGCGTAGCAACAGAGCCTAAGATGATTCCTTGCCTTGAACTTTCCGAGAGAGCTGATAAAGCGCAGATAATGCTGGATTGCACATTAATGTAATAATGGAGGCCCTTCTAAGCCTAATTATTAGAATGCATTGTTTAACAGGATATTACCTTAAGTCAAATGATCAAATTAAACCTCACTTGAGACACATTCCCATGGCTTGAGATAGACGAGATAACTAGGGGATCTTTTATTACTCTTTCTGTCTGTGTTAATGAGACCGATCAGAGCAAATCCATTTGGCTGGACTATTTTTTTTTTTTATTCCTCTCCTTCTTTCTGCCGTTGCAATAATTAATGCAGTAGAAATTTCATTAGTCACTTTGCACGAACGAATGTCCATTTATTATGAAGGGCTCTCGTTTGGTGGGAAACATTTTAAAGCAAAGTGGATAATCATTAATTAATTTGTTTAACATTCATCCTATTACTCTTCGTCACGATAAGCTTTGGGGCCATTAATACCAGAGGGAATCCTGTTCCTGGAAGGTTGTCAGTAACTCTGAAATAGTAGCTGTGGTTGTGCGGTGGATATAACACAGTAACACAATTCAACATTTTTTACTACCGGTTCTGTGGGCGTGGCTTGGTGGGCATGGCATGGCTTGGTGGGTGTGGCTCGGTGGGCATGGCAGGGGAAGGTTACTGCAAAATCCCCATTTCCTCCCGATCAGCTGGGACTCGGGAGGCAGAGAATAGATGGGGGCGGGGCCAGTCACCATTTTTACTACCGGTTCTCCGAACTACTCAAAATTCCGCTACCGGTTCTCCAGAAGTGGTCAGAACCTGCTGAAACCCACCTCTGATCGAATCTCACCAGGCTCAAGGTTGACTCAGCCTTCCATCCTTTCGAGGTAGGTAAATTGAGGACCCGGATTGTGGGGGGCAATAAGCCCACTTTGTATAGACCAACACCGCTTGGGGTGGGGGTTGAAAGCCCTAATAAGCAGGTATATACAAAAAAGTATGCAGGCTATTGCTATAATGCATTGTAAGCCGCCCTGAGTCTACGGAGAAGGGCAACATATAAATTGGACTAATAAATGAATGAATGAATGAATGAATGAATGAATGAATGAATGAATGAATAAATAAATAAACAAACATAACTAGGTTGACTTGGGGATAAAATGTGGAAAATTCAATCCGTGCAATATTATGATCACAGGTAGTCCTCCATTTACAACAGTGACCATTCAGAGTTACAATGGCGCTGAAAAAAAGGTGACTTATGACAATTTTTCAGACTGATGACTGTTGCAGCATCCCCAGGGCCACGTGATCAAAATTTGGGTGTTTGGCGACTGGCTCACATTTATGATGGTTGCCGTGTCCCTTTGACTTTGCTTGCCAGAAAGGTGGCAAAAGGAGATCCCATGACCCCAAGATATAGCAACCATCATAAATGCGAGTCGGTAGCCAAGCATCCGAATTTTGCTCATCCATGGGGATCCTGCAACAGTCATCAGTCTGAAAAAACGGTCATAAGTCACTTTTTTCAGTGTCGTAATTTTGAATGGTCACTGTTGTAAATCAAAGATTAACTGTTCTGAGCTAGGCTTCCGCAGCAGCACGAAGCTGAGTCTTCGTCCTGATAAACCCCTTTTGTTTAATTTACAGTGAATTCCTCTCCAGAAAAGTCTTTCCTCTCCCACAGTCTTTCAAGAGAGTTCACAATTACCGACCTTTATCAGGCTTGGAGAGTGGCCAGGCCGATATCTTTCGGATGCCACAATACTTGGCAAGAATGCAGGAATGAACTAATTGTCTCCTGCAAACTCCACTCCCCTTTCGCTCCTCTTTTATTCCCTCTGGGAGGAGCCATTCAGGGGTGGGTTCTAAATTTTTTTACTACTGGTTCTGTGGGCTTGGCTTATTTTGTGGGCGTGGCTTGATGGTCATGTGACAATTCTTTAGGATTTAGCAGAGGTACTGGTCTACCAGGCTTTTAACTGCTTGCAGAGCTGTACTGGTCTACCCATTTATTTTTGCAGGCACCGGTCTACTCATGTATTTTTGGAGGCACGGGTCTACCACCAAACTGCCTTTTACCACTGATCAGCTGTAGGGCGGCCCTTTGAAGCCCCACGGCAAGAGTTTAAACAGTTTTTCCTTATAGCCCATCAGCTGGGACTCAAGAGGCAGCAATAGATTGGGGGTGGGGCCAAATAAAAGGTAAGAATAACGCGGGGGGCGGAATCAGTTCAGTGACATCATATTGTCACCGCTACCGGCTTGGCGGAACCGGGTGGAACCCACCACTGGAGCCATTCTTTGTCCACCTGTGGCCTTACTCCCAAGTCGACCCTTGTTCTTTAGCTGTTCCCTTCGTCTGGCAACTCTGTGCATGCGCACACTGGGACCAGGCTCCAGCTGTTGGTCTGCCTCACTGATGTCTGACTCCGAAGGCAGCTGGTAACTGGCATCCGGCCCTTGCCCCCTCTCTGCCTGTGACACAGAGCCCTCATCAGAGCCTTCCCCAGACTCCAGGACTGGCCCATGTTCCTCCCCAACCTCCTCACTGTCCGAATCTGCTGCCAGATCCACTGGCGGCCCACATCATTAGCTGTATTATATATATATATATTTCTTTCCTCCGATTGATAACTAGGGTACATGGGCATATTTTTTTTTCTTCCTTTTGGAAGTTTTCTGAACATGCTGATAACCCCAGTTCTGTTTTTGTGTTGGTTTCGTGGTAAAGCTACATAAGGAGAAGCAATTAGAAAAGAGACAAATGTGCGTATTTAATGTGTCAGGTTGTGCTGAGAAATCAACTTTCTGCCAAATCCTATCTTAAGTTTTCCCCTATTGGAAAAAAAAGGGTTACGTTTTGCAATCTGTACAAAGTGTTTTTATTAAGCAGGTTTTAGCTCTATTCTTTATTTTGCTTCTCTTGGGAAAATTAAGGCGTAGGTGACGCTTAATGCTTCACACATGCAAGGAACAACGAAGTCATCAGTTCTGAATTAGGTCTGTAATTGCAAGCTTCCTGAGCAAATGTGCAGAAAGCAAGCATCTGTTCTCTCTCTTAGCCTGCAACATGGTTATTAATGTGTGGTTGAACCAGTGGTGGGTTCCTCCCGGTTCAGCCCGGTTCCACCCAGCCGATAGCGGTGAAGATATGATGTTCTGCCTCCCTGCTCCCCGCCCCCCCCGTGTTATTGTTACCTTTTATTTGGCCCCACCCCCAATCTATTGCTGCCTCCTGAGTCCCTGCTGATGGCTAGAGGGGAAAAAAAACTGTTTAAACTCTTGCCGCGGGGCTTCAAAGGGCCGCCCTACAGCTGATCAGTGTTAAAAGAAAACAAATGAGTAGACCAGTGCCTGCAAAAATAAATGGGTAGACCGGTGCCTGCAAAAATACATGAGTAGATCAGTGCCTGCAAAAATACATGAGTAGATCAGTGCCTGCAAAAATAAATGAGTAGATCGGTACAGCTCTGCAAGCAGTTAAAAGCCTGGTAGACCAGTACCTCTGCTAAATCCTAAAAAATTGTCACATGACCATCAAGCCACGCCCACAAAATAAGCCACGCCCACAGAACCGGTAGTAAAAAACTTTAAAACCCACCCCTGGGTTGAACTGCATGGATGTGCTATAGAAAGTTACTACTATAGAAAGAAGAACGACTTGGAAATTCAGTGCTTTCTAAACAGAGCCATAGGCCAGTGTAAGTAAGTTCCTGGACCATAATCTCTCATGGCAAGTTGGGTGAATTATGGTTTGTAAACTATGCACTGTGGCTCAGGATGTTCCTTATTTCAGAAATGATGCAAGCAAGCAAACCATAGCTTAACATGGTAACTCATTTAAAATGAGGGGTCCTGGGTACTCTCTGGTTGTTTTCTTGCAGACGTTTCATTACCAAACTAGGTATCATCATCAGGGCTAGAAGGGAGCTGAAGCTGTGAGGTGGGGATGGACGATCCGGTTAGGCCAGGGGTCTGCAATCTTAAACACTCAAAGAGCCATTTGGACCCATTTCCCACAGAAAAGAAATCACCGGGAGTCACAAAACCTGGGTGGACATGGCCAACTTGACGGCTCTCACTCCCACCCAATCACATAACACCCCCACAGCCACGCTTACCCAGGTTTTGTGGCTCCTGGTGTTTTCTTTTCTGTGGGAAACAGCTATCTCTCTCTGTCTCTTTCTCTCTCTCTCTCTCTCTCTCTCCTTCTCTCCGTCTCTATCTCTCCCTCTCTGTCTGTCTCTCTCTTTCTCTCTCATCTCACTCTCTCTCATCCCTCTTTCTCTGTCTCATGTGTTTGTTTGTGTGTGTGCTCCCTCTTGAACAATTTTCAAAAACAGGCGAAGGTTGGTGGTTTTTTTTTTGTTTTGCTGATGTTGTTCTTTCTTCTTCTTTGGGTGCTTTTTACCATATTTAAATCAGGAGTCATTTCAGGTTCCCAGATAAAGGAAGCTCTTTTGTCCCTCTGCTGTAGCTCCCTGTCGGTTGAACTCACCACTGGCTGCCCTGCCCCTCGCCCTCCCCTCCCAATCACTCCTCGCCTGGCCTGAGAAAGTAAGGGTGACGGTGGGCGATGGAGACTTGCTCCATATTCCAGAACGGGAGCGAAACACCCCTGTACTTGCCATATCTCGCAGGCGCTTCTACTGGCCCTTGTTGGTGTTGTGCGCACTTTGGTCGCTCGTGGAGACACGCGACTTGCTCTCCGCCCTGAGACACTGGTTTGACCTGGCTGCGGCCGACGCTGCTGCTGTTGCCACCTCCATCGCCTGCCCGCTACTCTCACAGTGCCTTGCTCAGTACAGTTAAATTTAGCGCACTTCACAATGGGGGAGACGGTGTCCCCTCCTCCTCCTTGAGCCCATTACGATGCAGAGCATTGGCCGCAGTCGGGCGGGGCAGAGACCAAGTAGTGCGTCTCCCTGAACGACTGAGATGAGTGCAGCACCAACAAGGGCTGGAAGAAGTGCCTGTGAGATATAGCAAGTACAGGAATGCTTGACTCCCACTCTGGAATATGGAGTGAGTCTCCATCCCCCGCTGTTGTCCTTACCTTCTCAAGCCAGATGAGGAGTGACTGGAGGAGAGGGAGAGGGGCGGGGCCAGCCAGCGGTGGGTTCAGTGGACAAGGAGCCACAGGTGAAAATGGTGACATGAGAAGCTCAGCTCCCCTGAAAACAAACTTCAACTCCATTTCATTATTAATTAATATTTTTATTATTAGATTTGATTATTAAGTTTTTTAAAGAGGAGGCTGGACAGCTACTTGTCCAAAATGGTATAGGTTCTCGTGCTTGAGCAGGAGGCTGGACTAGAAGACCTCCAAGGTCCCTTCCAGATTCTATTCTATTCTATTCTATTCTATTCTATTCTATTCTATTCTATTCTATTCTATTCTATTCTATTCTATTCTCTTCTCTTCTCTTCTCTTCTCTCCTATTCAATTCAATTCTAATTCTAATTCTCTTCTAATTCTAATTCTAATTCTAATTCTAATTCTAATTCTAATTCTAATTCTAATTCTATTTTAATTCTAATTTAATTCTAATTCTAATTCTAATTCTAATCCTATTTCTAATTCTAATTCCTATTCCTATTCCTTTCCTTTCCTTCCTTTCCTTTCCTTTCCTTTCCTTTCCTTTCTTTCCTTTCCTTTCCTTTCCTTCCCTTCCCTTTCCCTTCCCTTCCTTCCCTTCCCTTTCCCTTCCCTTCCCTTCCTTCCCTTCCCTTCCTTTCCCTTCCTATTCCTATTCCTATTCCTATTCTTTCTCTTCTCTTCTCTTCTCTTCTCTTCTCTTCTCTTCTCTTCTCTTCTTCTCTTTCTCTTCTCTTCTCTTCTCTTCTCTTCTCTTCTCTTCTCTTCTCTTATCATTTTGTGTCAAAGAAAAAGTTTCAAGCCTGTGTAAGAAGAGATATAAGAGGGTTGATCTAAGTTGATCCTTAGAAGATACTATCATTGTAATATGAAGGCAGTTACTTGTTCTCACCTGTACCTTAATTGTGAGATTCTTGAAGGAGGTTTGTGAGTGTGGCAATAACCAAATAGATGAGGCAATCATCTTATAGGCTGCACCTGTCTTGGCTTCCCATCTGTTGAAGTCCCAAGGAAAGCTGTTACTCCAACGTACAAGGATGGTACTTCAACAGGACCTTTTTAGAGACCAGGAAGCCAGGAAGAGCAAGGCGGCTGCAGAGTATTAGAGAGGTAATATTATAGCACATAAAGAGGCAGCATCCATTGTTGCCATCAAAAATTTTTGAAATTCCCAGGAGGCCAGGCAAAAACAGTGAAAAAAGAATGTCAGGAAGCTGGAAGGAAGAATTGGGCCCCTAATATGCAAACAGTTGGGTTGCCTTACAAAAGCAAGCCTGGTTTTTTTTTTTTTTTAAGTTTTATTAACATAAACAAACATAAAACACAAATACATGTAAACACTTATACATTAACAAAGAGTCAATCGACTAACTTCTAGAAAACCTTCGCATCGGTGATTAATGTCCATTTAACCAATTTTCCTTAATCATACTATTTACAAATTCACTTGCTTATACCTTGATATATTCATTGAAGTTCAGCAGTATCTTTCTACAAACATATTAACCATTTATTTATACAATCCTACGGCTCATCTCATGTATCTATTTCTGCAATTCTTGAGTTATGTTCTCCTAATGTCCTATGTTGTTGGCCCTATCCTTCTTTCTAACCATGTGTACCATTTTTGCCAAACTAAATAAAAGTCAGTGTTCTCTTTATCTTGGAGCTCTTTTGTGAGCCTATCCATCTCTGCGCATTCATTTATTTTTGTTATTATTTTTTCTTCTGTTGGTATTATCTCGGATTTCCAATTCTGAGCGTACACTATACGTGCCGCTGTCAATATGTGGATGGTAAGATATTTTATCTCCTTGGTACACTGTGGTGTAGTCATTCCAAATAGAAAGAGTTCTGGTTTCATTTCTACACTTTGCCTCGTTGTTTCTTCGATTATTCTCTTAATCTCTTGCCAGTAGCGTTGTGCCTTCCTGCAAGACCACCAGAGATGGTAATATGTCCCCATTTGTGTCTTGCACTTCCAACACATTGGTGATGTGTTTGGAAACATTTTAGCCAAACGTGCCGGAGGAAGGTGCCATCTATAAAATATCTTGTATAAATTTTCTTTGTATGGAATCGACAGTGTCATCTTATAATTTTCTGCCCATAGCTTGTCCCATCTATCCAACTCTATATTGTGACCTATATTTCTTGCCCAGCTTACCATGTTTTCTTTCACTGTTTCCTCCTCTAATTTATACCTTATTAAATATCCATAAATTTTAGATATTATTTTCTCATCTGTGCCTTTTAGAAGCAAGCCTGGTTAATTACCTTATGACCACAATTGAGCCCAAAAATCCTGTTGCTAAGTGAGACATTGGTTAAGTGAGCTTTTCCCCATTTTACGACTTTTCTTGCCACGGTTGTTAAGTGAATCACTGCTGTTGAATGACCCGCTTGTTAAGCGAATCTGGCTTCCCCTTTGACTTTATTTGTCAGAAGGTCGCAAAAAGAGAATCACGTGACCCTGGGACATTGCAATGGTCATAAGTATGAACCAGTTGCTAAACATCTGGATTCTGACCATGGGACCATGAGGATGGTTTTTTTTTTTCAGGACTTCAAATGGTCACTAAATGAATGGTTATAAGTTGAGAACTACCTGTATGTGTAGAATTGAAATGTAGCTGTTCGGCGCTATACAAAAACAGATTCAAACAGATTTCTCATTTTTTCTCCAGCCAGCCAAGCCCATCCTAAGCACTGTATGAACGCCTACCTGTTTCCAATGCCGATTGTGCTTGGGCCTCATCCTCACCCCTCCTATGACACAACCGCAGGTAGGTTCTGAGGAAGACTTGAATCCGTAATATATTCTTCATACCTAGGCCTCATTAATGGTGCCAAGATGTACAATAAGATGTATGGCCAGGCGTGGGCTGCTGGGGGTTCGCGGGGATTCGGGAGAACTTCTAGCTAAGATTCTGTGCAGTTTGGAGAACCCCAAATCCCACTCCTGGCTGGCCCCACCCACCCCTCCTCTCCCCTCCCAGGAGTCCCCAGGCGGCTCGTTTTGGATGCAGGTAAGTGCAGGGTGAGCGTGGAGGCTCAGGGACGGTGAAAAACGGGCCTACCGGAAGTTTGGGAAGGCCAGTAATGGGCCTGTTTCCAGCCTCCAGAGGGCCTCCAGAGCCTGGGGAGGCTGTTTTCGCCATCCTGGAGGCTCAAGGAAAGCCTCCGGAGCCCGGGGAGGGCAAAAATTGTTTGGCTGTTCACCGCCCTGAGTCCTTCGGGAGTAGGGCAGTATACAAATCAAAATAATAAATAAAATAAATAAATAAAAATGCCCCACCCCTGCTGTTGTGCAGGAGGCTGAGTAGAGACCACCATGGCCACGTCCACCCAGCAACTGAGCAGAGAACCCCTTGCTAACATTTTTGAAGCCCACCCCTGTGTATGGCTATATGCAAACTCTCTGTTGTGGCCCATCGGCTGCCAGCAGCAGAGTCAGACGAGGAAGAGGGGAAGTCTGGGCCAACTTCGGAAGAGCCTTTGGAAGGCTCTGATGAGGAAGCATAATCAGAGGCAGATGCAGAGCCTGGGCCTTCCGTCCTCCCCCAGACGGAGAGGCAGCTGTCTTCAGGGCCTGAGCTGAGTGAGGGGGAGGAACAGATGGGGCCCATCCCAGATGCACATATGAGTAGAGAGGAGAGGAGAGCAACGGAAAGCAATAAGCCGGCTCTCAAGGAAAAGAAGACATAGACGCTAACCAGCCTCTCTCTGGCTGGAAAATAAATAGAAGGGGTTTGGGAGTGGCCAGTTGTCGCAGACAACCATTTGTTTTCTAGTATACAGCAAGCAATTGGGGTTCCTTGGCCAGAAATCAGGTTTGTTGGGATTATGTTTGGGGTTTTTTTTGTTTTTGTTTATCCATGCTCACATTTTCGGTGAACCGGTGGTGGAATTATTTGAATCCCGCCACTGCTCATAAGGTATAAGGTCGTCTGCTCCCTTCCAACTCTCCGATTCTATGATCTGCCCAGCATTTATAGCATTATATTGACCCCATTCAGTGGTGGGTTTCAAATTTTTTTTATTACCGGTTTTGTGGGTGTGGCTTGGTGGGCGTGGCATGGCTTGGTGGGCGTGGCTTGGTGGGCATGGCAGGGGAAGGATACTGCAAAATCCCCATTTCCTCCCAATCAGCTGGGACTCGGGAGGCAGAGAATAGATGGGGGCGGGGCCAGTCAGAATTTTTACTACCAGTTCTCCAAACTGCTCAAAATTTCTGCTACCGGTTCTCCAGAACTGGTCAGAACCTGCTGAAACCCACCTCTGATCCCATTATACATTCTGAACTATCTGCCTTAACTATGAGCGCTAAAAGATATAGATGTCAGCATTCTGATGCTGCCATAAAAAGACGAGGCTTGACTTTTCACCTACTTATTTTCTCTGTAGATAATATCCCCTAGGAGATGGGACGGGAGGGGGGAACATTCCTGTGGGGTGAGGTCAGAAGCTGGGGAGACTGACTTGGAAGATGGCCAATGAGAAGATGAGAATTGGGGAACGGAAAGGGAAGGGTTTGGGGGTCAGAGGGTTAGTATCAGCTACGATGAAGTCAGGGCCAGATCTGTCGTACTCAATAAATGGAATATTTCAGCAAAGATTAATTGTTTGGGAGTGCAATTTATTTGACATGACATCGAAACCTAACAATAAGTATGTGAAACTTTCTACACGTTGGAACTTCACATCCAACATAAATGCAATCCCAAATTATTTAGAATGCATGTCAGCTTGTCTCTTTTCCTTTTTCAAACATTTATGGGTAAAATTAGATCTCCTTGCACTGACATTCCCCCCCCCCCCATGTACGTTGATTGTGTAGCTTGACTCAATTTGTGGTGTGACTCTCTCCCTCCATGCACAGTGTACAGGGGATTCTGGACAGCGCTGATTGTCCTGGCCATCACTGCCAGCCTTGTGGGTGTGTTTTTGTTGGTGTGCGGTGTGCCCTTTGTCAACGCGAGATTCTATAAAGTTGGAGGTGGATTCCTTATGGCTGCTGGTAAGTGACCAGTGCAGTGTTCACTGCTTTAGTGACCTGGAATGCTAAAATCCTGAGACTGCATGCATAACAGAATGCAAATGTGCCAGGGGGGCAATCTACTTACCTGTTCTGTCCCCGTTTCACACACGCACACAAACAGACAGCCGGGGGTTAAATAAACTGGCAGACAACCAATTCTTCCAATAAGACGCTTGGCAGCATCCCAGTAGCTGCTTGCCAAGAACTTTTACTCAATAAACAAAATACCCACAGTCAAGAATTGTCCAGTTCGTAAAATAAATCCAAGGCTGATAATGTTGTTTCCAAAGATGCAATGTGACTCGATAGTAGTTAGTTTTGTCCGTCACAGAGTCTGAATGGCCACCTCACCCCCTTTTATACCCTGTGGGGTGTGGTCCAGTGATTCAGCCTAATCTCTGGCACGCCTTTTCTTCTGTTGCGCGTGCTTATCTCTGCAACGCTGCCAAGGATCCAGCCAAGACTCATTACCCTCATCACTGTCCACCTGTGGCTGTGTGGACGTGCTTGGCCCCGGCCCTATCTCTTGCCCTTCGGTGGATACCGGAGGCATTGCCAGAGAGGAGGGTCCTGGAGAGGGAGGCCTTGCCAACTCCTCCCCTTCACTCTCGGAGTCCTCTCCTGCCAATGACACAGGCTCAGGTAACGGAGCCACAACACTACCTTCCTTACCGGTTCAGAAGCACATGCGCCGCACGCAGACCTGTGCATGCGCAAAACCGTCTGTGCAGATGATAAAAAACACATTACTTCCTGGTTAAAACCAGGAAGTAATGACACCCGGGTGGATGGGCCGAGCTTTGCTCTGCCATCGCTACCGGATCACCGAAACACGGGCCAAGATCACTACCGGACCAGGCAATCCAGTCTGATCCGGGAGCATTTCACGGCTGAAATGTGCCTAAGAAAAAGATTTGAAACAAAATGTGCACTTAATAACCAAGGTAGTTGCACGTTTCTATTAATTTTATTAATGAATAAAGAAGTGCTGGAATTAAAAGCTCTGGAATTCTAGACTAGTTCTTGTGCGTTTGGGCAGCTACGTTTCAAGGAAGCAGTTTGGCTCCTTCCTTAGATGGAGAGTTGGCTTTGAATCTTAACTTAGTTGCCTAATAATGCTTGCTTGCTACTAAAAGGGAATGCGCTACCTTTTAAGCTTATTATCTGACTTAGATTGAAGAGCTTAGATTGTTTCTCTTCCAAAACTCTTAAGAAGCAGAGCTGGAGACATTCTAGCCTGCAAGAGACATGGACAACATTGTTTGACTTGAGAAAAGTTTCTGTTCTTTTGGAGGGTACCAAGCTGATATTTGTGTTAGAACATTATTAGAGAACAGTGGAGAGGTATCCTAGAGGTGGAGCTCTTGCCTCACAATCAGGAGGCTGTGAGTTCGATGCTGGGTAGAGATATGCATTTTTCTCTCTGGGCACACTGAGAATGTATCTGCTGAACAAAACTCCACAATGGGGACAGGAAGGGCATCCGGCCATTAAAACACTCCGCTAGTTCCATTCAGTTGCCCAGACTCCACCTTGCACCTCGCGCGACACCCCCCTGCCTCCCCCTTCCTGGCACGCGATGGCAAAAAGGCTAGCCATAACTGGCCTAGAATCTCTGAGCCATACCTGGCCTAGGATCTCATCATTTTAGCCATGGTCTATCCACTGCAGAATGAAGGCCTCTTCTGCATGTTTCCCACCAATATGGTCCTGAGCTTTCTTTTGCCAATTGGGCCTGCAATACTTACTGATGTTATTGTTCCATCTTGTTTTAGGTCTCTGGACATTTTTTATCAAGTGGGATCCATTCTATGAGTGCCTTGGTCCATTTGCCATAAGTTCTTCTTGCTATGTGACCAGTCCGTTTCCATTTCAATTCTTTGACTCTCTTAATCAGGGGTGTCAAACTTGATTTCATTGAGGGCTGCACCAGGCTTGTGTTTGACCTTGGGGGCAGGTGGGCATGGCCATGGTGGGCATGGCCAGCTTGACGTCACACATGTTGGGGGCACCTGTGGCAGCCCAAGCGCTCTGCCGGCAAAAACGGATTCCCAAGCTCCATTTTTTGCTGCAACGGCCTCTTGCAACCCTCTGCGAGTGAAAATCAGAGCCCTGGAGGGCTGTGCACGGCTCTCCCAAGCTCCATTTTCTTTTTTCTTTTTTCTTTTTTTTAGTGAAAAGTTTTATAAAAGATACAAACATTTTCTCCCCCCCTCCCACCCCTCCACCCTCACCCCATCCCACCTCCCTTACCCACCCACCCACCCTTTCCCCCTCCCCCTTCCCCCCAACCTCCCTCCCTAGACTTCCCAGAACAAGCTCAGGGTATAGCATTCACAAACATAAAACTAAAATATGCTAACAATTTGTTGACTTCAAATTCTCCCTGGGTCTTTAACTCCTTATAACTCAAAATACTATAAACATAAACTAAAGATTAAAAATGTTTCACTCATAAGCTATATGAAACTTCTTAGTCTGATACTTGTTTTGAATATAGTCAATCCATCTTCTCCATTCTGATATATATCTTTCGTTTGAATGGTCTTTAAGATATGATGAAATTTTCGCCATCTCTGCCAAATGCGCGACTTTTAGTGTCTATTCCTCAATAGTAGGTGGATCTTCCTTCTTCCAATACTGTGCCACCAGTAACCTGGCTGCTGTTATTAAGTTGGTAGAGCCTTGGTAGAACAGTGGTTTAATGCACCCTGTTATTAACACAGCTGCCTGCAATTTCTGCAGGTTCGAATCTTACCAGGCTCAAGGTTGACTCAGCCTTCCATCCTTTCTAAGGTAGGTAAAATGAGGACCCAGTTTGTGGGGGCGATAAACTGACTTTGTATAAATATACAAAAGTATGAAGGCTATTGCTTAGCGCATTGTAAGCCGCCCGGAGTCTCCGGAGAAGGGCGGCATATAAATCAAATTAAAAAAAAAAAAAGTTTAAAACCAACTTAGTCTCTGTCACAGTACAATCCGTAACTATTCCCAACAAAAAAAAACTGTGGTGTAAATTTGATCTTTTTCTTTAAAATATTTTGAATAAGCCACCATATTTTTATCGAAAAAGCCTTAATTTTTTTACATGTCCACCATATATGAAAATATGTAGCTCCATTTTCGTTGGCAGAGGCACCACGGGCTGGTCCTTTGCTGTTTCCAGGGTGGCCCTGTGGGCCAGATCTAAACACCCCATAGGCTGGATGCGTCCCACAGGCCTTGAGTTTGACACCTTAATGGTATCATATACTTTCATCTGTTCTCTAATCCATGTTGAGGTCTTTCTATTTTGTCTTCTAATGCCGAGCAGCTATCTTTCCATGCTTTTCTTTTGCGCCACATACCGTAAAGCAAATAAATAAATCAGAGTGACATGGTAATATTTAGCAGACGGACTAAACAGCTCCACATTTTAGTCTTCTAAGCCATTACTGTAGCTTTGCTAATTATTTTGTCTGTCTGTCTGTCTTTATATTCTTATCCGGTACAGTAGTTGCAACGGGGGAGCCTTATTTGTCATCTGCTATGGATGGCAGATCGGCTGTAATTAACTTTTGTATCCCAGTAATTGTTCCTCGGAGAAAGGTGAAAGTGCTTATAATTCATCAAGAGGGAAATTTGTCTGGAGAGAAAGTTCTGAGGGAAGAAATCAGGAGGCTGTCCTTTGAAGTCCCGAAGCAAAGCTTTCTGCACTGAAATAATATTCTGGAATGTTCTTCCCATAATTTGGTGGCCTCATTATCAGACTGTTTTACAGGGATGGGGGTTAAGCCTTCAGGGTAAAAACCAGATGTACAAAGGCAAAGTTCATAGAAATGTTTAAAATAATAAAAGCTGCCAATCTTTAAGCACTCTGGAGCTTCAACCTTACTAATGGCCTCCCCAATCTCAGTTATGGTCCTTTTTTTTCTTTGTTGCCCAGAAGACTTTTATCCTGGGATGCTTTTTAATCCCCTTGAACAGGTTTTCCCAAGATGCTTTGTTACGCTTGCTAGTTTGTGGATCAGAGAGTTGAGGGAAGAAGGGGTGTGATGACTCAGTGGTTAAAGATGCTGAGCTTGTCAGCTGGAAAGCTAACATCCTGGGTTTGAGACCCAAGCTCCATGGGACAGGGTGAGTTCCAGTTCCTTGCCCCAGCTCCTGCCCTCCTACCAGTTCAACAGCATGCAAATGTGAGTAGATAAATAGGTACCACTTTGGTGGGAATAACAGCATTCTGTGCACCTTGGCGTATAGTCATGCTGGCAATATGACCATGGAAAGGACCAAGGCATGTCTTTTACATGCCTTCTAAGTTTACTTATTGCTCGTGTCTCTAAGTTAGAGAACTGGAAATGTGATGCCCATGATTTTAGTTAAAAAACAACAACAATACACAGAAAAGTTGGAAAAGGAACAAAAAACAATCGACTTTTTAAAGGAAATACGAATGGGGTTATCTCAGTCATTTTTCTTAAATCACTGTTGCCTGTCCAGGAGAAATAAATTTCTTGGGGTCATAGAGACTATGCTGGATGGCTAGAAGGGATGGTGAAAAGCACACTTGTCAACTTGCTTTTGGCTGAAAGAGTGGTCTATACAAGGAAAATGACTGCCACATCCAACGGCCATTTTATGAAGATGCCTCTTCAAAATTCCAGATTTATCCTATATCTCTTCCCTGCCCAAATATTGTTAAATTAAGTTGGCTTGGGGCTCTAATGGGGGAACATCACATTGGAGGTGATTGTTGAATTAAGAGGCAATCCCACCTCCCCCTACTCATCCTGTTCTCCCCCGCCCCATCTTTTAACTATATTTATCTTGATTGGGACTTTTAATTTTTATTCTTTTAAATATATGTATTTATTAGACGTGGTGGCTCAGTGGCTAAGATGCTGAGCTTGTCGACTGAAAGGTCGACAGTTCAGCGGTTCGAATCCCTAGTGCCGCGTAATGGGGTGAGCTCCCATGACTTGTCCCAGCTTCTGCCAACC